GGCCTCTCTCCCAGCTTCCGGTGAATACTAGCAATCCTTGACTTTCCTTGGCTCGTAGCTGAATCCCTCCCATCTCTGTCTCCATCTTCGTGTGGCATTCTCTCTGAGTCTATATCCCAACTTCCGTCTTTTCATAACGACCCCAGTCACTGCATTTACCACCTTAATTCAGTATGCACTCATTTAACGCGATTACATCTGCCAAGACCCTGTTTCCAAATAAGGTCACATTCATAGATGGACATGAATTTGGGAGGGACACTATTCATCTCAGAACAGAGAGAGCAAAGCAGAACCGTCTGGAGCCCCTGTGGCCTGCATACTGAGAGCTTGGCGACCCTCCATAGATATCTTATGTTGCTGTTGGAATTGTCTTTGCCTAGCGACAAAGAATCTATTCTCCTGGGAAACTCAGTAAACTTCACTCAGCATCAGTTTGGAAAAGCATGGACAGCTTGTCACTTTACAATGCTCAGGAAAAAAAGAAAGGAAATCCAATGGACAACTCTTGTAAGTCTGAACTAATAGATGGCCTATCCTATACCCTGACCGAAGACAGGTGTGTTCAGTATGAATATTTGGGTTTCCTGTTGGAAGCCAGGACTCTGTTGTTTCTTTTCCATCAGTGTAAGGGGTGAATTCCTAAAAATTCCTCTGTGCCAAAAGAGGGCTCATTTCGTACCAGGAAGGAGGAAGATGATGACTTCGCTACCCAGAGATCCAAAGGAGAGGCTCTCTTTGCAGCTAATCTCTCTCCCGTAAGACCTCCCAAAGTAGGCAGAATTCCAAGGATGGCCCCCTAAGATTCCCGGCCCCTGGTTATCCAGACACTAATCTAGGTGTTGCTGTGAAGAGATTTTGCAGATATGAAGTCCAAGGTCAGGTGACCTTAAGACATGGAGATTGTTTGGGGCAGCCGGTTAGCTCAGTTGGTTAGAGCACAGTGCTCATAATACCAAGGTTGCCGGTTCGATCACCACATGGGCCACTGAGCTGTGCCCTCCACAACTATATTGAAGACAACTACTTGACTTGGAGCTGATGGGTCCTGGAAAAACACACTGTTCCCCAATAAAAAAAAAAAAGACATGAGATTGTCTGGGTGGGCCTGACCCAATCAGGTGAAAATTTTAAAAGGGTTTTCTCTGGCTGGTGGTAGAAGGGGACTTAGAGATGTTAGAAGGGTCAGAAGAACATGACACACCATTGCTGCTTTGAGGACAGACAGGCCATCTGGGAAGGAACGTGAGTGGCTTCCAGGAGCAAAGAGTGTCCCCCGCCTACAGCTAACACAGATGGGACCTCAGACCTACAGCCTCAAGGAAGTGGATTCTGCCTCAACCTGAAGGAGCTTGAAAGCAGATTTCTCCCAAAGACTCAGGCGACACCTTCGTTTTCACTTGTGAGACCTGAGCAGAAAACCCAGTCGAGCCTGTTCAGATTGCTGGCCTATAGATTGTCAGGTAATAAACGGGTGTTTGTTTAGGCCACAAAGTTTGTGCTACCTTGTTATGCACTAGTAGAAAATTAACACACCTCTGCTCTTGGTGAAGTTCTAGGGGTGGGGACACTCAAAATGGGGGGGGGGGAGAAACAGGGATTTGGGATCGGGCAATTCCATTTCTTCCTCCTGTTGCACCTCCATTCATGTGGTCACCCCTTCGATCTATGAGAGCTCCTGGTCCCTGTGCAAGACAGAAAGATGCTCAAATGAACTGGGGGCCAGGTGTCCTCAGAGGCTTCAGAGGTTGATGGAAATCAGGTACATGTCCCTCTTCTCATGGTTAACCGGTTATGAAGACCAGGGAACCAGGTGAGTCTAACCACATTGTATTCTGGTGTTTTATAGGTTCCTAGGAATAGAATGAATCTTGGTAAAGTCTTTTAACACAATTCCTCCTTTGGGGTAAGGTCCCAGAAAATTGCATTCCCTGCACACCACCCCTACCTCCCCCTCCCCCACCCCTAAGAAGAAGTAGGCAGCAAAAATTTTGCACATCACGGCTCTGGGCAAGTTACTGGTTAAGTAACAGCCTTGGGCAAGTTACCTTCCACTTCCCAGTAGCTTCTACCTCATAGACTCGGAAATGGTAGGTGTGAAAAGCTGGCTTGTAGCAGGTGCTCAATAAATGTCAGCAGTTGGGAGTATGATCCTCAGAGACGTAAGGGTTATTGCACACCCCTCCCTGATATCATGGTTGTTAAGCTGCTTGACCCAGGGTAGGGCTCCCAAGCAATCTCTTCATCCCATCACAAAGCCGAGGACCAGAGAAGGGACTCACAGCTCTGTCTGCATATAAGCGTATCACCTGGGGATGGTTAACCACTACCAGCACTGTGCCAGCGAGGAGCTGAGCCTCTACCTGGAAAGATAACCCTGGGAGCCCTGAGCATTGAAGGAACACGTGGATGGTGAGGGCCAGGTTTCAGGTGGGAGAAAGGATTGGTGCTGAGCAGGGCACTGTAGGGTTTGACAACCATTTTGTCTCTGGCAGGCTTTGGGACTCTCATGTCAAGGAGGTGGTGTGAGGAAGGAAGTGGATGAGAAAGCCCCCACTCAGGCAAGGGTGACCCAAGGCCACAAGAGTGAGTGGGGTGTGTGTGGGGGTATCTGATCTTGGAAGAAGACATCTTTACCCCTCTAAAGTGGATAGGCATGGCCCTTTATCTTCCGTCCAGAAGAAGACAGAGGGCTGATGCTATCTCTGGTGTGGGTTGAATTGTGTCCCCTGCAATAGATGTGTTGAAGTCCTAACCCCCAGTACCTGTGAATATGGCCTTATTTGGAAATAGGGTCTTTGCAGATGTAATAAGATTAAGACGATGTCATTAGGATGGGTTCTAATCCAATAGGCCTGGTGTCCTTCTAAGAAGAGGCGACACAGGGAGGAGGCCATGTGAGGATGGAGACAGAGGCTGGAGTGATATGGCCACAAACCAAGTGACACCCGGGGCCACCAGGAGCTGGAAGAGGCAGGAAGGATCCTCTCCTAGAGCCTTCAGAGGGAGGCAGTCCTGCCAACACCTTGTCTTCAGACTTCAAGCCTCCAGAACTGTGAGAATCAATTTCGGTTGTTTTAAGACCCCCCAGTTTGTGGGACTGTGACATTGCAGCCCCAGGGCACTGACCCAGTCTCCAAGGCAAGGGCGGGAACAGCGGCTCAGTGAACGTGCAGCTGCCAATGAACTACCTGAAAGCCATTCCCAACCTGTTCTCTCTTGCTACAAAGGTTGGAAAACCAAATTTTTACATGTCCACTTCCCTTGCATCCGAGACTGACCATGGGATCCAGTTCTGGCCAGTAAGACCCAAGGAATCCTGCCCAGGGTTTTCTGAAAGCTTCTGCTTCTCTAATAGAAGGGGAAATGTGTCAGGCACACCTCTTCACCCTCCCCATCATGCCTCTTTGAACACAGTGTGGTCATGGCGTTAAGGGTCCCCGGCTACAATCCTTTTACCTTGCAATGACAATCATGGGGACTCCCCCAGACTCACCCAGTGCCTAGCAACGTTCATCTGCTCAACCAAGCTTATCGCATGAGAAAAATAAACACATATTTGTTCAAGTTAATTGGGCTCTCTGCTACCTGCTGCCGAATGCTTTCTTAGCCAATGCCATGATCTGGCCACAGGAGCCTTCCCAAACCTACCTTCTCCCTGGTGGACCACAGAAGTTGAGGGCGGGAGCTCTGGACGTCAGAGTGAGCAGATTTTAATCCCGACTCTCCCACCCCCAGTTTGCAATTCACCCCCTTCTCTCTTTGCCCCCCTTCTCTGCAAAAGGGAGATAAAGATATCTACTTCACACGACGGCTGGAGAGTTAGAAGCGCTAACGCCTGGCAAGTGCTTAGCAGATGCTCAGGAAATAGTGGCTGTCATAATTTCTAGGAGCATCCTTACCCCCATGTTCTGATGTACGTAGGGGGGCTCCCACAAAAGGCTCAGTACTATATAAACAGTTAAAGCCAGAGTGAGAACTGTCCCAACTCACCCGGACTTTGAACAGGCTCTTGACGCCAAATGAGTACCCCTTTCTTTAGTGTATGTGTGTGTTTATATCACAGACACTCCCCCCGCTCCCCGGCCCTAGTTTGTCTCAAGCCATTTCTGCGTTAGAGAACAATAACAGCAATAGATCATCCCTACCACTGCCATTTATCCAGTGGGTTCTGTGCATGGGGCCCAGAGCAGTATGTTTCTTGCCAAAAGACAGACAGCTAGCAAATGACAGAGCTTAGTCTCAAGGCTGGCAGCGCACCATGCCTCCTGCCAAGTCCAAGCTCAGTTTTGGCACCAAAAGCAAGAAAAGCAGAAACGCCAGGGGACAAAGCACTTTCACGCTTCATTTAACCCTTGTGACAGGCTTTGAAATCAATAGATCATTATCCTCACCTGTCAAAAGAGGAGATCAGGCCTCAGGAAAGGAGCGCAGACACTGGCAGAACTTGGACTGGAGCAGAGGTTTTCTGATCCCAAATCCTGCTGCCCTGGACCCTCTAGAACGGTTGAACGTAGAGGCTGGGTCAGGATTACAACTCAGGGGTGAGGAGGGTCGCTGTCAAGTTTCTTCAACATGGCACGGGTGACCCTGGTGTCAAGCAGCTGACAACACCTGTTGAGACCTATTGGGAGGTGGGGACTTTGCCTCATCATCTCACTTATTTCTTTTTTTACAGATTAAGAGACTGAGGCTCAGAGAGGGAGGCCATTTGTCCTGGTAGACAGCCAGCAAGAATAGGCCCATGTCCTCTCCACTGTGTGACCCTATCACCTTGGGGATGTCCTGACCACGTAGAGGCCTTTGCCCTCACATTTTATCCACAGCAGGTCTAATATATACGTATGTGTGTATGCTTTTATATGTAATATGTATTTGGCTTCAGCTTAAGATTTTGTTTGAACAGTGGTTTCGGTGGCTAACTTTTTTTTAAGACCACTAGTCCATGTACCACACATGTGATTTTTTCACACATGTGATGCTTGTTTTCTTTTACGCAGGACCAGCATTCCACGAGGACATCTGTGCAGAACCATCAGACTATCCCTGGCTGTAAAATACAATAAGGCCATACTGGCGTGTCCCAGTGGAAGGTCAGTCCTGTTGATACACGTATACCTATGACTTAATTAAATTCTAAGCTCCTTGAGAGCAGGGACCAGGTTTGATACTTTTTTGTCACTGGGTTTTGAGCTCTGTATGGATGGACACTTCATACCCAATGGGCACTTATCAAATGTTTGCTAATGGTCATTCTTGTTTTTGCAGTACATCTCCAAACAAACATTTTCTTCTATAAAGATGATGGTACTGTGCCAAATTCTCCATTTAGTGGGAAATCTTTTCTGTCAATTATTATTTGTTATGTATAATTATGGTCCTTCCCAAGTGCTTGTAAAGTGGAATTATTTTCCAAAACATTGTTGATATTTCCTTAAAGCGTTAATCCCAGAATGGGGAAGACTTGAGCTGGAAGAGAATTTAGCAGTATGGTAGGTTAACTTCTTGAGGAAATGGAAGTTTGCAGAGGTAAAGGGACTGTGTCAGGGGCCACCCAGCCAATCCACTTGTCAACCCATGCTGGGAGCTGACTGCTGGTGCAGAAAATAATTGATGGGATTCACCTATCTTCAGGGTTTTGATCAACTGTATGTTTGACCAAAGTTTTCTGTGTTACATATGTATTACATAATATTTTGCAATAACATGTTCTATTCGCTATCCATGCTTCTGTCATTAGATATGACTTTAGCCATGTAACCTGCTAACTACAGCTCTCAGAAGGCAGGGAGGGGCCAAGTCTGTTTGTTCACAGTGATTAGTACATGTAAGGTAACCAATACAGATTTGTTAAATGAATGATTGAAGAAACTTGGATTGAAATGCCATGTATGACTTTCTCATTGACGCCAATGGTCCACTGAGCATGCGTACTAGTGATAAAGAGAATTTGTATGTCGGGACCCACAATATGGAGGCCACCCGCCTCCATGGCCCAGCCCACACCACAAATCTAAACCTGTGTCAGCCTGCACGTATGGGAATCAACTGTCAAGGACACTTAATAGACACCAGTCATAACCCTCCAACTCACCTCAGCTTTAGCAAGCTTATCTTAGAAAGCAGGACCTAATGGCCTTATGAGGAAATCCCCGACCTCCTAGCCCATTCTGCCGTTTCTGCGTTGCCTCTTCTAACACGTGTAAAACTCTCTCTTGCGCAAAAGCCCTCAGGAAGAATGCTTCACTGCTTGTGAGGCACTCGACCGCCCCAATCCATGGATTGTTTTCCCTTGAATCAAGGACATCAAACTCATTACTAAATTGTTTTTGCTTTGTCATTTGACACTAGACTATCCTGTTTAGTTGCTGTGGGGTTTTGGTGAGAAATATCTTTGGCTACACCAAACAATGTTATTAAACACATCGGGGTTTATTTTTCTCTTACGACAAGAAATCCAGAGATGAGCAGTTCCCGGTGCTGCTCCAGTAATGATGCTGAGTGATGTCAGGGACAACATCCGTGATTCTTTTGGACTTTCCTTATGGTAGCAATGTGGCTGCCACAGCTCTGGGCATCGCATCCTGCATTCAATGCAGTAAAAACGGAAGAAAGGATGAAACCTGTAAATGTTCCTTATATGAGGAAAAGCAATCACTTGCTGAGAAACCCTCTCATAGATATCTACTTAAATCTCATTTGTTAACATTACATCAGTGGCCACCCATGCTGCAAAGGAAATGAGGGACCAAAATGGCCAGGATCGTCCAAAGGCTTGGTGATTGGGTTGCTCTCTTGCACCCCTGCCATTGTCCTGAGAAAGGCATGCCCAGGCTAGTCCACTGGTCCTGAGAGGAGAACAAGAGACATGTGGAATAGAACCATCCCACCTGAGCCCAGCCTGGATCAGCTAGCTTCCAGCAGAACCCCAGGTGTGTGAGTTCAGAGCTTCCCTATTGAGCCCCGCCTAGATCAGCTGACCCTCAGCCTGCCTGCAGATGCATGAGAATTAATGATGGCCATTTTTAAATACAAATTTTCACAACAGCTTTCTTGACTTTTGTTTTGTTTTGTTTTTAGTTTTTAGCTGAGCCATCCTGCTACCTGTTGGCAGCTCAGCAGCTGCTCAGCTCGGGCTGGACTCGAACCGCTGTTGCTCAGAGCTCAAACTCTTGAGCGAGCTCTTAACCAACTGAGCCACTCGGCCAGCCCCACAACAGCTTTCTTGAGATATAATTCACATACCATACAGTTTACCCACTTAAAGTATACAATTCAATAGTTTTTAGTGAATTAAGAGCTGTACAACCATCACCACAATCAGCTTTAGAATATCTTCAACACCCCAAAAAGAAGTCTTGTACCCACTACCATCACGCCTCATGTCTCCCAACAACCCCAGCCCTAGCAACCACTTATCTATTTCCATCTCTATGGATTTGCCTATTTTGGACATTTCATATACATGGAGTTGTACATCATGTGGTCTTTTGTCACTGACTTCTTAACTTAGCATAATGTTTTCAGGGTTCTTCCACGTTGTAGCAGGTGTTAGTACTTCATGCATGTGTTTTTGTTTTTTATTTTTACTTTTCCCCAGCTATAAGTGAAATCATATAGTAATTTGTCTTTCACTGTCTGACTTATTTCACTTAGCATTATACCCTCTAGGTCTATCCATATTGTTGCAAATGGAGGTAAGATTTCATTCTTTTTTATGGCCATGTAATATTCCCTTTTATATATGTACCATATCTTCTTTATCCAACCATCTATCAATGGCCACTTAGGTTGCTTCCATATCTTGTATATGAAGTGTCCTTCTTTGTCTCTTGTTATAGCCTTTGTTTTAAAGTCTTTTTTGTCTGATATAAGTACTGTTACCCCAGGTTTTCCTTTATTTACATTTGCATGAAATATCTTTTTCCATCCCTTTACTTTCAATCGTGTGTGTCTTTCAATCCTAAGTGGATCTCTTATAGGTAGCATATGTATGGGTCTTGTTTTCTTTTCCATTTAACCAACCTATGTCTTTTTATTGGAGCATTTAATCTATTTGCATTCAAAGTAATTATTGATAGGTATATAGTTATTGCCATTTTATGACTATCTTTTTCTTCTTCTTAAAGAAGTGTCTTTAACATTTCTTGTAATACTTGTTTGGTAGTAATGAGCTCCTTTAGCTCTTTCTTGTCTGAGAAGCTCTTTATCTGTCATTTGATTCTAAATATAGCTTTGCTGGGTAGAGTAATCTTGGTAGTAGGTCCTTGTTTTTCATCACTTTGAATATTTCCTGCCAATCCCTTCTGTCCTGCAAAGTTTCTGTTGCTAAGTCAGCTGACAGTCTTATGGGAGCTCCTTTGTATGTAACTGCTTTTCTCTTGTTACTTTTAAGACTCTCTCTTTAACTTTTAACTTTTGGCATTTTTTATTTTAAAGATTTTTATTGGGGAATTAGGGGATGGAAACTGCGCTGAGGAATTGGGGGAAGGGGAACAGACAAGTTGCTGTCCTTTTGTTCTTCAGTCTAGTTGTGGAGGACGTTGCTTCACTGGCCCAAGTTGGCACCATCATTGCGCTCTTCCCGGGTGAGGCAGATCAGTCGCTGGCTTCTGGATGGCCACTCACAGCGGCTGCTGGCTGCTCACGCTGGCTGCTGGCTACTCACTGTAGCCCATGGCAACCCACTGCAGCAGGGGTTGCAGCTACGCCATCGCCGGCAACTCACGGCATCCCAGCTCCAGGCTGAGCTGTTGTTCAGCATCTTAGCTGTAGAGGGCAGTGTCACTGGCCCTCATATGTGGGATCTGAACTGGGGCCCTCTGGCGTCCCAAGCCAGCTCTTAACCAACACGCCACTCGGCCGGCCCAACTTTTGGCATTTTAATTTTAATGTGTCTTGGTGTGGGCCTCTTTGGGTTCATCTTTTCTAGGACTCTCTTTGCTTCCTGGGCTTGTGTGTTTATTTCCTTCACCAGGTTAGGGAAGTTTTCAGTCATTATCTCTTCAAATAGGTTTCAATCCCTTGCTTTCTCTCTTTTCCTTCTGGTACCCCTATGATGCAAATGTTGTTATGCCTGATGTTGTCCCAGAGGTCTCTTAAACTATCCTCACTTTTTCAATTCCATTTTTTTTCTTTTTGCTGTCCTGCTTGGGTGTTTTCTACTACCTTGTCTTCCAAATTGATCATTTGATTCTCTGCTTCATCTAATCTGCTGTTGATTCCATCTAATATATTCTTTATTTCAGTTATTGTATTCTTCATTTCTGATTGGTTCTTTTTTATGGTTTTTATCCTTTGTGTAAGTTCTCACTGAGTTCCTTTATTCTTCCTCTAAGTTCATCGAGCATCCTTATAACCAGTGTTTAGAACTCTGTATCTGGTAGGTTGCTTGCCTCCATTTTGTTTAGTTCTTTTTCTGGAGTTTTCTTCTGTTCTTTCATTTGGGACATATTTGTTTGTTTTCTCATTTTTGCTTCTTCCCTGTGTTTGTTTCTATGTATTAGGTAGACCTGCTATGTCTCCCAGCCTTGGCTGGGGGCCTTATATAGTAGGTGTCCTGTGGGGCCCAGTGGCACAGTCTCCCTAGTCACCTGAGCTGAGTGCTCCCGGTGTGTCCCTTGTGTGGATTGTGTGTGCCATCCTGCTGTAATTGAGCCTTGATGGCTGTTGGCACATCAGTAAGTGGGACTGACCCTCAGGTTGACTGGCTGTGAGGACTGACTATTACTATAGCTGACAAGCTGTTGTGTGTGGGCTGACCCCATGGAGCAGGATTCACTTTAGCAAGGGGCTCTGATGCCTGCTGAGCCCACCCTTTGGGTGTGTCATTTGTGGAGCTAATTGGGTGGTACTCTGGTGTGGTCTGAGGCCAGCCATCATGTGTGTTGGTTTTGGAGCCTCCTGGACAGGGCTATGGTGCAGGATTTGTCAGCCCTGTCTGTGTCTGGCCCTGGGCCACCTGATAGGTGCTGCAAAGTGATCTGTGTATTGTGGTTGGTAGCTGCCTGTGCTGGACCTGGAGATGCCCAGAAGAGGCTATGCTGTGAACTGAGGCTAGTTGTCACTAGTGCCAGGGGCCAATTAGCAAGAG